TGTCTAAAGAAGTTTTACTTCAAAAAGATTTGTTTGTGATTTATCATTTAGGGAGCGTTTATTATTCACCTGAGGTATAGTAAGATATCACGTGTATTTATTTGTTGACCTGAATATTTAATAAAAATCCAAACATTCAAAAAAATGCAAAAATTTTACAATTTTTTCTCGTAACTAAAAATTTACTTCATGTTTGGCGGGAAAAGGGGGGGGGATAATTTTGAATATTACCACGAATTTCTAAGGGGGGTCCAAAAATCCTTAAAAATTGATCGCGTGATTAATAGACGTCCCGTTACGTGTTTTTTTCCTTTCCAAGAAGAATCTTGTGATGTAAGATAAAAATTTTGGCCTCAGCATAAAAAAAGTTTTACTTTACTAAGATTTTTCTAATCATTTTTTAAATAAATTCAGATCATTTTTTCAATATAATTATATTGGACGAATCAGAATTTACAAAAGTTGCGTCTAAAGAAGTTTTACTTCAAAAACAATTTGTTCGTGATCCATCAATTACGTGTTTTGTTTTTTTTTTTCTAGTGATACAAGATAAAAAACTGACCCCACCATAAAGAAGTTTTACTTCACTAAGATTAGTTTGTGATCCACCATTGTTTAAATTTAATTATATTTGACGTTGCAATTTTATCTTTTTTATCTTTGCCTGAGTTGGCTATTTGTTTATCATCAATTAAATAAAAAACATTGATTTACTCCTTTCGAAATCTTAAACGACCAATTGCATCAACTCTATCCAAATGACGTCATCGGCCAATGACGAATCAGAATTTAGCGAAATCGCGTCTAAAGAAGTTTTACTTCAAAAATATTTCATTATGATCCATGTGTTTTACTTAAAAAATATTTGTTCCCATCCATTTACGTGTTTTATTTTCTTCTTCTAGTGATACAAGGTAAAAAAGACTGATCCCAGCTTCGGCCCTTCAATGGGCATGATGGGAAACCACATGAATGGCGGTATGGGGCACATGGGCCCTGGAGGAGACTCCAGATACACCCCTGATCCCTACCGGGGCGCCGTAAGGGGCGGCCAAGCCGGGGCTGATATTATTAGAACTAGGAACACCACAGGTAACACTTGACACGGACCTCGCGTACATCCTTGAGGAACACCTAAATTTAATATTCCTTGTTTTTGTTGTTTTAGCTCACCAGTCGTCAACGAGACGCCGGATTGTCGTGGGGGTTTATTCTTACGAAGCCCGAGAACAGAGTGATGTCTCTTTCAGGAAAGGTGACAGGATGGAAGTCCTGGACGACTCGGAATCTGATTGGTGGCGCGTTTTGCACTTAACCACCAGACAGGAGGGATTGATTCCTTGGAATTTTGTTGCAGAAGAACGCAGCGTCGAGAGCGAAGAGTAAGTAGATAGAAATAAATCATATTTGGTAAAAAAAAAAACAAAATTTAAAGTTACTTAGCCATGTATCTATTACTACCATGTGTCTTTTACCCTAGTTGGTTCTTCGATCACATCTCTCGTAAAGAAGCAGACAAGCTCCTGCTGTCCGATGAGAACCCACGAGGTACTTTTCTGGTCAGGCCTTCGGAACACAATCCTCAAGGCTATTCGTTGAGTGTGAAGGACTGGGAGGAGCAACGGGGCTATCATGTGAAACACTACAAGATCAAACCTTTGGATAATGGTGGATTCTATATTGCAACGAACCAGACATTCCCTAGTCTGCCTGCACTGGTCTTGGCTTATACGAGTATGTATAGATAGAGGATAGTGCTTAAGATTAAATTATGGTTTAATAAGATATTTTACAGGGATGAGATAATAAAAAAGTAGGGAATTATTTATGAAGATGTAGTACTTGTCAGCAATGAGAGAGACTGATGAGAGTTTCTATTCATTAGATTTTTATCGATTAAGATTTTTCTGAAACTATTGATATTTATATCGATTGGTAAGATCGAATATAACTTCCATTGGTAAGATCGAAAGTGTAAAGTGTAAAATAAAAGAAATGTCTGATGAAATATTTTATAATCATCAGATTTTAGTGAAACAATAGTCGACAAGATGAATTCACAAGATTGAATCGGTAAGCATTATTCGGTTTACAGCATGTATATCGGTGTTGTGTTGGTTGTAGTTTCAATTAATATTTTTGGCATTAAAATTTATTTTAATATGGTTTGTATTAAGTTAGTAATATAGTTTTATACAGCACTATTGCACGAGTTGCACAGTATTTGAGTAACATTACATGTATGTAGCTGGATGTAATATATATATATATATATATATATATATATACTAGATGACCCGACAGACGTTGTCCTGCACCCACGTCTACAATTGCAAACTTTTTAATATCCTATCCTATACTCATCAATATCCTATTTGATGTCCTGCCTTTGCGTTTAATTTATGGTCTTAGCATAAGCAGTATTATAAATTCAAAAAAAATTAATATAGTATCTACGGTAAAAGAACAATATCACACTTGATTTTACCACACAACATAATTGCTTCAATAATTTAGTCTATAATTTTCATTATTTCGTGCGATATATTAGTTGCGTTTTGGAAATTGTAATTTCTAAAGTACATTTTTCTTACTAATAATTTAATAAAACATTATTGTTTATGTTCAAATTTTAAGTGAATGAATTTGTAAAATCTAGTTCATATGGTGCACTTTCCAATCTAAGATCAACTTGCTAAATATTCCATAATATCCAATGCCAAACAATTGAATTTTTCACACATGAAACAAAATTCTAAATCATTTTTTTAATAAGTAGAAATATTTTTAGTATTGTTTAATAATTTAGTAAAGTAAACCAAAATGCGACATGCATAAGTTTAAAAAAATAATGTATATGCAATTTTGGACTTGTTGCGTTATTTATTAAACTGAATTATATAATTTCATCTGCCAAACATATACTGTTGACTGTATCTTATATTATTTTAATTTCTGGCACATCTCAGCTGCTTTTCGGCAATAATAATGTAGACATTACATTTTTCTTGTATATTATATTCTAATATTATCTAGGCTCATAATTTCAGCTAAATTCAAATTTCAAGTGAATTGACATTTCTAGCAGATGACAGTTCAAATGTTTTTAATGTCAAACAATGATAAGTGTTTTTTTTGTAATTTTTGCCATTTATTTCTACAATATTACTATAGTTTTATAGTTCATTAAATCTATATATATATTATATATATATATACTTGCTGACCCGGTATACGTTGTTTTGTCATATAAAATATTTCTAGTATAAAAATAACTAACTGGTTATAAATATGATATAAGTGTATTTTGTGTGTCCGCATTTTTTCGTTCACGTTTTCAGGCGCACGGATCAACCGATTTGAATGGTTCAAAAAACATTTGATTCAAAAATCAAAAAACTATTGATAGGGAGATGTGCTGATTAGTTTTGGAAAAGGCAGGTCCAGCCGTTACGGAGATACGGTGCAAAGAGTGCAGAAAATACAAATCGAGTTTTTGAGTGAACGGAGCTTCCGATTTGAATGATCTAAAAAACATTCAATTTGTAATGATTGGGAGAAGAAGTGATTAGTTTTTGGCAAAGACAGGTCCCGCCATTTCGAAGATACAGAGCTAAATATGCAAAGAATGGCAGTTTTCGAGTGAACTAAGCGTCCGATTTGAATGATCTAAAAATTTTCTGCTTGTATTGACAAAAATAATTGCTTTCGAGGATTAAAAAATATTACATTTTTTTTTTTATTTCGATAAAATATTTTTGTAATTTTGGATTAAAAATTCAAAAAATTACCCAGGTTAAGCACAGTCTAATCGTCACTCTGGTACAAATGTTTTCGTAAATGCGTTTAGACTGTTTATGTACTGGAGCACTTTTTCAATTCGAATTTTGTGAAAACTATTGAAAAATCTTAAATTGCCGCCAAGTTAAGGACAGTATAAGTGAAAATGTCGCACAGAATTATTTGCAAATGCGTTTAGACTGTGACTATACGGGAGAACTTTTTCAATTTTGTTTAAATTAGGCAACTATTTTTTCTGGAGATAAATTGGTTTATGATTTACATTTGATTTGCTCAGATATAACAAGATAACAAAAATAATGAAAGTTACAGGCTTTGTAACAGTATATTTGAAAACGTTTAAAATTTCTCGAATATTTCATTAAGGTACAGGAGGTTCCAGAAATTTGCCTTATGACACGATGCCATACACCACTAGTTTGTTTTTCTTCTTGCAAGAAATAATAATGTGGTATTAATTTGGGAAATGGGGTTTTATTTTTATTAAAGAAAACATACTTTTAAAATTTAATAATTAACAAATTTCTTAGTCCTCTTCCACTAACCTCAATATGTCCTTGTAGAAATAGCCTCGTTTAGCGCTGTTTCGCATTACGCTCCATCTTGATAGAACGTATCCCCCGCATGTATATTGGTGTTGTGTTGGTTTTAGTCATAAATTAATATATTGAGTAAGTCGATTATTTACACATATCGGGATGTTCATGCAACTTGTGTTAAGACAAAATGCCACTTGCATCTAGTTTTTATCATTCGGCTGTTCAACAACTACAATATTTGATCAATGGACTCCCAAACTAATAAACTTCTGAATGTATATGAACACCCGAAATTTTTATTTTATCGTTCTACTAACAAAATTGTTGCATGTTTGTAAATATCTCTGTCGTCTCGCTAACACTCTGGTTTATATCATACAAATCACAGCTCCATCTATAACTTAATAATTTTCTTATATTTCTGTTTTTAGATGCAGATAAGGCCAAAGAAGCAGCAATATCAATTCCCCAGCTGGTAAGAGCTTGCAGAAAACCCAGACCTCGAATGTTCGATTTGAGTAACGAGACTTCAAAAGGCAAAAATTGGGAAATACCACTCGAAGACATCGATATCCGTGAGAAGTTGGCCAGTGGTAATTTTGGCACCGTGTGCCTTGGCCTGTGGAAAGGTAAGACAGAAGTGGCCATCAAGAAATTGAACAAGTCAGATGTCAAGTCGATAAATGATTTTAAGCAAGAGGCAAAGATTATGAAGACTGTGCGACATGAACATCTCTTGGCATTGTTGGGAATTTGTCAAACCGATGACGAGTTGTATATAATCACCGAGTATATGAAGAATGGTGCTTTGCTCGATTATTTGCACATGAAGGGTAAAATGTTGAAGAAAAATGAGTTGTACGGGTTTGCAGAACAGATTGCAAGTGGTATGGTTTATTTGGAAGAGAAGAAGTACATCCATCGCGACTTGGCAGCTCGCAACGTGCTGGTGGATGAAATGTTTGGTGCCAAAATATGCGATTTTGGTCTCAGCAGAGCAATTCAGGACGACATCTACGAATCTAGAAGTCGTGTCTGTGCCGTGAAATGGACAGCGCCGGAGGCGCTGGAATTCCAAAGATACACCCACAAATCAGACGTCTGGAGTTACGGTATTGTCCTTCATGAGATATTTTCCTTGGGCAAGGTTCCGTATCCGGGAATGAAAAGTTCGGAAATGATTGATAATCTGAGAAATGGACATCGGATGGCGAAGCCGGATTTGGCAAGTGTGGAGACTTACAAGTTGATGCTGAAGTGTTGGGCTTGGGATAAAGACAACAGGCCGGAGTTTAAGGAGATTCATGAATTTATGAAGAATATTTGTGATGATGGATATATGTCCAGCAATATGGATGTGGAGGAGAATGCACCTTTACTTGATAAAAAATTGATAGAGTGATATATTTATATCCAATGCTTAAGGGGCACAACTAGTGTGAAATTTTCAAAAAATCGAATTTTCATTTTTTCATATTTTGATAGATTATACCTTTAAAAATAACATACCAAAATTTTAAATCGATATCTTAAATAGTTTTTGAGTCACAGCCATTTAAAGAGTATATATAGTATATAGTACAACGATCATTTTATCTTTAAACGCGTTTTTCTCGAAACAGCATTTTCCGAATTTGCTGCAGTGATTACTCAAAAACAAATGATCCGATCACTATCAAATTTTTTTTACATGTTCTATATACGTGGTCTGTTGAAAAAGTACCCGGAATTTTCGTATATAAATATAAAATATTTATTTATTCGTCTACATTAATGTGGTCCCCTTCAAAGTAGTCCCCCCCAGATATAATACACTTATGCCAGCGTTTTTTCCAATTTTCGAAGCACCCTTGATATTCACTTTTTGATATGTCCTTGAGCACTCTCAGCGATTTTCTTCAATCGAGGAAAACCGCCGTCCTTTCATGGGTCTCTTCCTTCAACTTTGGGAATAGGAAAAAGTCACACGGAGCCATATCTGGTGAATTTTTGCACTTTGCAACACTTTATTTCATTTTTTACGCAAAATTTAATACAAATTCAATGACTTTTCAATTCTTCCATTGTAAAAATCGCCGAGCTCAGAAAAACACGTCGAACCTTAGCGACTACCACAGACAAAGTAAACAGTGAATATAGCTGAAAATTTCATCATACTTTAGGGGCATGTATACCAACACAATAAAAAAAAAATTTTGACAATCAGACACTCCAGACCCGCGAAATTTAATTATTAGTAATTCCGGGTACTTTTTGAACAGACCACGTATAGTTCTCCGCAAAATGAACTATCGACTTTTTGATCGGATCAAAAATCGAATTTTGGCAGTCCAAAAACGACCAAAATTTTGGATAAAATGCGACTATCTTTTTTAAAACACCGCCATTTTGTCAATTTTTGATTTTTTTTATCGTAGGTTATTTTAAGGACAATATTATCTAGTTTAACGAATTTTTTTTTTAAATTTCATCCACGTAGAAGGCCGGACTCACTGCAGCTGTGAAGGGCCTTTTTTTCGCGCCGTTGAAGATCGACGATAACTTAAAAAATATTTAATTTTTTTCTTCAAAAATTTTACTACGTATTCTTAGAACACGTGTAAATATATTCTTAAAATTTTGAAATGACTGATAAAGTATTTTTTTAAATATAAATTCCCAAAAATCACCTTTTTTTAGGCGGTTACACTAGTTGTGCCCTTTAAGTCATCTACTTGTGTGTCCTGCAAAGAACAGTCATTGATAGAAAATAATATTTGCACAATTGTTCGGGTAACAAACATAAAGTTAAATCGATAAAACCTAATTAAGTAGTGCAATTTGAGGACAACTTTTAAGATTTTCATTAGTTGTCTTAAATTATTGTTTTTTCAATGTAAATTGTTTTCATTCATGGAAGTAGGTATAAGTAAGCCAAAACATTAAAATGAGTTTTAAAAAAATTCCTATTTGAATATTTTCAACTTTATGATTTGACCCTTTCGTTACGACCTGTGTGTACGAGAGTCGTCCATAGAAGACATCTAGTGGATCGACTTTTACTTCAGTATTTATCATTCTGCGCTGATTTATCGAGAGTATTAATTTGTTATTGTGGTTTTTAGTTCTTTACAAGTGTAATTTTTAATTTTTAAATGCATTTTTGTCTATAGTGATTTTAATGTCTTAAAATATTTTGTGTAACAAATATTTAGGTGGCTTGCTGTCTCGCACAACAGTGACCGAAAGGATAATTTTTTTTTATGAAATATTTATAATTGTTAATGATTTAGTATTTCAAATTTTATATGCGTTATTATTAGTAGTTCATATTTTATTCTAATATAAATCAATAATATATATTTAATCAATATTATATTATATATTATATATATTTTTATGTATAACATTAACAAATATAATAATTTATTTTTAATAAATTAAAAGACGACTAATTAAGAAAATTATGTCTTAATGCCATCTTATATCTTTAGATGAGATTTCGAATTTTCAAAATCGGTTCAGGATTTTTGAGATAAGTTACTACATTGTGGGATAAGTTACGACATTATGGGACGAGTTACGATATTGTGCGACGAGTTACGACATTGTAGGACGAGTTGCGATATCGTGGGACGAGTTATGACATTTTGAGACAAGTTACATTATTGTGAGACAAGTTACATTATTGTGAGACAAGTTACATAATTGTGAGACAAGTTACATAATTGTGAAAAAAGTTTCGACATTCTGAGACAAATTTCGACATTCTGAGACAAATTTCGACATTCTGAGACAAATTTCGACATTCTGAGACAAATTTCGACATTCTGAGACAAGTTTCGACATTCTGAGACAAGTTTCGACATTCTGAGACAAGTTTCGACATTCTGAGACAGGGTTCGACATTTTGAGACAGGTTACAATATTTTGAGGCAAGTTATGACATGATTTGGGACAGGATGGGACATCGTGGGACAAGTTACAACGTGGTTGGACAGGCTACGACGTGGTTAGACAAGTTACGACATGGTGGGACAAGTTACAACATTGTGAGACAAGTTACATAATAGTGGGACAGGTTACGACGTGGTTGGACAAGTTACGACATTGTGGGACAGTATAAGGCATTTTAAGACAATTTATTACATTTTGGGATAGGATTGGACATTGTGGGACAAGTTACGACGTGGTTGAACAGGTTACGACATTGTAGGACAGATCACGACATTGTGAGACAAGTTTCCGCATTGTGGGACAAGTTTTGACACGGTGAGACTAGATACTGCATTGCCAGGACAAGTTTTGATATTGTAGGACAAGTTTTGACATAGGACAAGTTTTGACATTGTAGGACAAGTTTTGACATTGTGTGACATTGTAGGACTAGTATTGACATTTTGAGACCAGTTACATAATTGTGGGACAAATTGCGATACTGTGAGACAAGTTACATAATTGTGAAACAAGTTACGACATTGTGGGACAAATTACGCAATTTTGAGACCAGTTATGACATTGTAAAACAACTTACATTGTGGGACAAGTTACGACATTTTGAGACAAGTTACGACATTGTGAGACAAGTTACGACATTGTGAGACAAGTTACGACATTGTGAGACTGGTTACGACATTGATTTACAAGTTACACACATTGTTTGGACACATTGTGGGCCAGGTTACTACATCGTGGGACAAGTTACGACGTTGTGGGACAAGTTACAACGTCCGGAGATAAGTTACGACGTTGTGGGACAAGTTACGACATTTTGGAACAGGATGGGACATTGTGGGACAAGTTACGACGTGGTTGGACAGGTTACATAATTATGAGACCAGTTACATAATTGTGGAACAGGTTACGACTTTGTAGGAAAAAATACGCAGTTTTGAGACCAGTTACGACATTGTAGAACAAATTCCATTGTGGGACAAGTTACGACATTTTGAGAACAGTTACTTCATTGTGGGATAGGTTACGATATTGTGGGACAGGTTACGACATCGTGGAAAATGTTATGACATTATGGAAAAAATTAGGACATTGCGGGAAAATTTACTATATTTTGGGACAAGTTACGCAATAGTGGGACAGATGACGATATTGTTGAACAGGTTACGACACTGTGATACAGGTTACGACATTTTGAAACAAGTTACATAATTGTGAGACCAGTTGACAAAAAATCACAAAATATCACGTGGGGGAGGGGTATAGTAAAATCGCGTGATTAATGACGTTTACTCATCGTTATTTTATCGTCTCAATTCTAAAACTTGTTAAATCTTAATTCTTATTGATTATGTCGATTATTTACGCGCACCGGAAAGTTTATGCAACTTGCCTTAAGGCCAAACGTCTAGTTTGATTAATCAACGTAAAATTTTGTGTCAAGAACTGTTATTTAAATCGGCTCTCAGACCGAGGTAATACAATTTGATGTGTCAAAATCTATTTAAAGACCTTATTTCTTATTATCTCTCTATTTTCAGAAAACGCCCTCGGCCTCTGCCATGTCCTCTCTCGGCCCTGCCCCAAGCCGCAGCCCCAGATGTGGGACTTGGGCCCTGAATTGCGGGACAAATGGGAAATCCCGCGATCAGAAATCAAACTGATTCGAAAATTAGGCCACGGCAACTTCGGCGAAGTCTACTACGGCAAATGGCGAAACAATATCGAAGTCGCCGTCAAAACCTTAAAAGAAGGCACCATGTCTACCCAGGCGTTCCTGCAGGAGGCCAGCATCATGAAGAAGTTCAGACATAATCGACTGGTGGCCCTGTATGCTGTCTGTTCACAGGAGGAACCCATTTACATAGTCCAGGAGTACATGTCTAAAGGAAGTTTGTTGGACTTCTTGAGGAATGGTGATGGTAAATATTTGCAGTTCGAAGATTTGATTTACATAGCTGCACAAATAGCTAGTGGTATGGAGTATTTGGAACTGAAGCAGCTGATCCACCGAGACTTGGCAGCCAGGAATGTTCTCATAGGTGAAAACAACGTCGCCAAAATTTGCGACTTCGGCTTAGCTCGTGTAATAGAAGACAACGAATACTGCCCTAAGCAAGGATCACGCTTCCCTGTCAAATGGACAGCACCCGAAGCAATAGTCTATTGTAGATTCTCAATCAAATCAGACGTCTGGTCTTATGGAATCTTGTTAATGGAACTGTTTACCTACGGACAAGTTCCTTATCCTGCAATGCACACTAAGGAAGTCATCGAAAAGATTGAGAAGGGCTACAGGATGCCCAAACCGACGAAACATCATCTACCAGATGATATCTATCGGATAATGTTGCAGTGCTGGGATGCTGTACCCGAAAAGAGGCCGACGTTTGAGTTTTTAAATCACTACTTCGAATCATTTACTGTGACCTCGGAAATTCCATACAGGGAAGTACAGGATTAATTTTTTAGATGGACAAAGTAAGGTTGGTGGTAGAAATTTAAGTTTTATTGGATAACGATAGTAATTTTATTCGAGAGACTGGATTGTTTTATAATACAAAAAATTTTATATTCAGTGTATAAAAGTTAATACTACTTTTCGAAATTAGCCTCTCTCTTTTCCTCTTCGCGTGTCAGCATCAATTTTTCCAACGCGTTCCTCATTTTCCTTAACAAAGTGACTCCGGAGTGTGTTCTCGGCATTTTAGGAGGGGCTTTCTGATCAAAGCCTTACTAGACAATATTATTTTTTTTTAAATTGGTGTTTTAATAAAAAAAAACTTAGGGATGAGTCATAAACAACGGATATTTGCAAATAAGTTACGACATGCTTACACAAGTCACTATATGTTTAGACAAGTTGCGACATTTCTAGACAGTTTACGACATTTCGAGAAAAGTTACAATATCTTTAGACAAGTTACCAATTTTTTGGACCAATTTCGACATGTTTAGTCCGGTTACGACATTTCTAAAGACGGAACTGCGGTATTTATAGACAAGTTACGAGATTTCTAGATAAGACAAGACTATGATGTTTTAAGACACTAGTTTTCAAGAAGTTACAATATTCTTAGACCAGTTATGACATTTCTAGGCCAGTTGCGATATTTCTAGAAAAGTTACGACATTTTGTGGCAAGTTACAACGTGTTTAAATAAGTTGCGGCATTTCTAGACGTGCTGCAATATTTTTAGACGAGTTGAGGTTTTACTTGGTGTATTGTAATATTTCTTGACGAGTTGCGATATTTTTCAACGTGTTACGTCATTTTTAGACAGGTCACGACATGTTGAAACAAGTTGCAGCACGTTTAAACAAGTTTCAACATTTTTAGACAGGTTATGACAATTCTGAAGAAGGAGTTACGATTTTTCTAGACAAGTTACGACATTTCTAGACAACTTACAATTTTTTTAGACAAGTTACGACATTTCTAGACAAGTTGCGACATTTCGAGACAAGTTGCGACATTTCGAGACAAGTTGCGACATTTCGAGACAAGTTGCGACATTTCTAGACAAGTTGCGACATTTCTAGACAAGTTGCGACATTTCTAGACAAGTTATGACATGTTTAGGCCAGTTAAAACATTTATAGACCAGCTGCAATATTTTTCAACGTGTTACGATTTGCTTAGACATGTTACGATTTGTTTAGTTAGGTTACGACATCTCTAAAATAGGAGTTATGATTTTTCTAGACAAGTTACGTCATTTGCAGACAAGTTACGACCTTTTGAGGCACTAGTTTTTAGACACTCCACAACATTTTCAGACACTCTACAACATTTTCAGACACTCTACGATATGTTCATATAAGTTACGATATGTTCATATAAGTTACGATATGTTCATACAAGTTACGATATGTTAGTACAAGGTACGATATATTCAGGAAAGTTACGTTATGTTTAGACAAGTTGCGACATTTATAGACAAGTTACGATAATTTATGACACTAGTTTTTAGACATCCTTTAACTTTTTCAGACAAGTTACAACATTTTCAGACAAATATCGCTTTGTCCCTTATTCATAAGTATTAAACATTTAACGCATTTTTGTTGGAAGAGAAAAAACGTATTAAGCTTGATGATATTGTGCTGTAATAAGTATCATCATTGATGCAAAAAGTTTAGACATCAATATATAAAAAACACCACCAGTCTCTCAATTAAAAATTATTTTCATTGATCACCACCTTACTTATCATCATAGTGTGA